GATTAGGATAAGAGAACATCATCCTCCAAGGACATTTGGGGGCTATTGAGTTTTAAGGTAAATTTCTATCAGAGGCACTGGTATTCGACCGCCTTGGCTTGAATTCTTGATCCTACTTAGTGATCCGAGTGCAGACTCAAGGTGTACATTCTTCAGCTGGGCAGCTGGATTCAGCTGCCTTTCCCCAGCTCGGCAGACCCACCTGGCCATCTAGGAGCTGGTTAAGGATTCTTTGCAGATGATGCAAAGCACACAGGAGACCTCACATCTCGACATCATTGTGATGGTTGTCTGGCCTTCCCATCTCAAGCTCACGTGTGATCACGGCTTCTTCAAGCCTGCATGGCTTCATCTTGTTTCACCCTGTGTTCCAGTCACACTGTCACCTACAGCTTGGAATGCCGCAGCCTCTCCATTCTTTTGAATTTCATTTATTCACTTGACAAACGTGTACTGCGAGTCCACTTTGGGCCAGGCATTGTTCTAGGGGGAGAGGAGGCACGTTAATCAAGTGAATGTGGCCGAGTGCAGTGGCTCAAGCCTGTAATCCGAGCGCTTTGGGAGGCTGAGGCGGGCGGATCACGAGGTCAAGAGATCGAGACCATCCTGGCCAACATGGTCACTACTATAAATTCAAAAAAATTAGCTGGGAGTGGTGGACTATGCCTGTAGTCCCAGCTACCTGGGAAGCTGAGACAGGAGAATTGCTTGAATCCAGGACGTGGAGGTTGCAGTGAGCCGAGATCGCGCCACTGCACCCCAGCGTGGCGCCTGGTGACAGAGCGAGACTCTGTCTCAAAAAAAATAATAAAAATAAAAAAATTAGCCAGAGGCTGGGCATGGTGGCTCATGCCTATAATCCTAGCACTTTGGGAGGCTGAGGTAGGAGAATCTTGAGGCCAAGAGTTCAATACCAGCCTGATGTGAACATAGGGAGATCACATCACTACAAAAAATAAAAATAAAACAATTAGCCTGGCATGGTAGTTCCAACTACTCAGGAAGCTGAGGTGGGAGGATTACGTGAGCCAGGAGACTGCAGTGGGCAACAGAGCAAGACTCTGTCTCAAAAAAATAAAAGAGAGAGAGAGAGAGAGAGAGAGAGAGAGCAGGCATGGTGGCTCCCTCCTATAATTCTAGCATTTTGGAAGGCCAAGGTAGGAGCATCGCTTGAGCCCATGAATTCGAGACCAGCCTGGGCATCATAGTGAAATCCCATTTCTTCAAGAAATATAAAAATTAGCATGTGCTTATAGTCACAGCTACTCGGGAGGCTGAGGTGGGAGGATGGTTTGAGCCCAGGAGACTGATTCATCACTGCACACCAGCTTGGGCAACAGCGCAAGATCCTGTCAAAAAAAGGAAAGAAAGGAAGAAAGTGAAAAAGAAAGAAAATAAATAAATACATTAGGTGGGCCAGGTGTGGTGGCTCATGCCTGTAATCCCAGCACTTTGGGGGGCCAAGTGGGGGCAGATCACGAGGTCAGGAGTTCGAGACCCACCTGACCAACATGGAGAAACCCTCTCTCTACTAAAAATACAAAATTAGTTGGGCATGGTGGCAAATGCCTGTAATCCCAGCTACTCGGGAGGGTAAGGCAGAAGACTGCTTAAACCTGGGAGGCAGAGGTTTCAGTGAGCTGAGATCGCACCCCTGCACTGCTGCCTGGGCAACAAGAGTGAAACTCATCTCAAAAAAAAAAGGAATAAAGAACATGGTGGCTGAGAGGGTATGGTAAGGTCAGGTAACAGTGGCCTCAGGCCACAGGCACCTCATGTGGGCTCAATAGATAGAGGCCCACCCCCAACTCAAGGGAAGAGAGCCAGTGATGGCCACAGAGGGTTGGGGGTCTCTGGGTCCTGGGACAATGACTTTCAAACAGCAAAGGTGAAGAGAGACACTCTTCCTGTTTTGCCCTCATGTACTGCCCACCTGGCTCCCCGTCTGCCAGCTCACACTCTGCACAGGCATGACCCCAGAAGGCTGTGGTGCTCCTGCTGGAGTGGGTTTGTGGTGGGCGAGAGTGTGGGCACAGGGGAGGGTATGTGGACACCCACCTGGAATGGAAGGGGGCTCCCCCAGTCCTGTGGCCAACTCCGTGCAGCTGTCAGCGCCTGCACCCCAGGAGCTGTCCAGAGGGAAGACAAAGGCGGCAGATGGGAGAGGAAAAGGACGCTTACTCAAAGTGCCACTTCCTGCTAACTACAAGACAAGGAGTTTCGGAGAGAAGAGAAATCACCAAGGGCATGTGGTAGGTATGTGGACAGCCTGCTTTGAACTGGCCCTGCCTGGACTCACCCTGAGCCAGGCTCTCCCCTCCCTGCATAGTCCATCAGTGAGAGTGTTCATACTTGCTCCTTCCCAGGGAGGAAGCACCAAGGGACTGCAGCCCTCCCTTCCGTTGACTTTCCAACTCCCTTTGGGGGGGATCAGAGCCAATTCAAGTGTCCCCCTAGCCCCTCCCTCTTGCCTCCTGTCCTCACCAGCTCAGAAGGTCCCTCAGGTGCAGCACTGCATCCTCCCACCTCCTCAGCCCTCAGGGACCTCAGCCTACTAACCTATACCTCCTTCTGGGCCTGAGCGAGCTGAGCTCTCTTCTGGCCTTCCTATCAGCTCAAATGCAGCCAACTCGCCCTCATCAGAAAGCACACACATAAAGTAAAATTAAAAAATTGCGCTTTTCGAGGTAGGAGGCCAGTTTTATCGGGTATGGAGCTAGGTGCGGATGCGATGTGGCTCTCAGTAGCACCTTATGGATAGTTGTGTCCCAAAGGAAGGATGAGAATAGCTGCTGAAGTCCTAAAGAGCAAGCCTAACTCAAGCTGTTGGCACACAGGCATTACACAGAAAGCTGGAAGTTGAAATGGTGGAGTCCAACTTGCCTGGACCAGCTTTATGGGTTCTGCTGGTAACGTTTTTATCCATGGATGGCTTGCTTGGGAAATGGTGTGAAACTTTTTCAGGTGCAGATGTTGGAGACCTTTTAAAGGTATGGAGAGTCAGCTTGACTACACCGTGTGGAGCAATTTGTGGAGCAAGTTTTAAAGAAGCAAAGGACTTGGAATTCATGCTTGAAGAAATGCAGGCATATCTGTTTTAAATGGAATTTTTCATCTTCTGACAGGCAGACCTGCTAACCTAAAAACTAGAGTTTAATGACCACAGCAAGCAAGCATGCAGTTTGGCCCTTGAAAGGGTCTTTCCTCACCCAGGCTGTAGTGAGCCCTTTGCAGCTCACCACAGCTCAAACTCCTGCGTTCAAATGATCCTCTGCCTCCCAGTGGCCTTTGTAGACAGCCTGATATGGAATCTCAAGAAGATTAAAAAATGTCTTTAATTTCAATAAATGGCTGCAATCCATCTGGAAAAAAAAAAAAAAAAAAATTGCTGCTCCTCTCTCTCTCTCACTTACATACACACCCCCACACGCGCCCACGCACACACACACCCACAAGTAAGAGCCAAATTATAAACTGGGGAAAGATCTTTGCCACACAGAGACCCGACAAGGGTCAAAACCTTATTGATGAGCTCAAACCGATCAATAAGCAACATACAAAGAGCCTGGATGTTCATACTCTGACCCAGGGATTTCTTTTTTTCTTTTTTTTGAGATGGAGTTTCGCTCTCGTTACCCAGGCTGGAGTGCAATGGCGCGATCTCGGCTCACCGCAACCTCCGCCTCCTGGGTTCAGGCAATTCTCCTGCCTCAGCCTCCTGAGTAGCTGGGATTACAGGCACGCACCACTACGCCCAGCTAATTTTTTGTATTTTTAGTAGAGACGGGGTTTCACCATGTTGACCGGGATGGTCTTGATCTCTTGACCTCGTGATCCACCCGCCTCGGCCTCCCAAAGTGCTGGGATTACAGGCTTGAGCCACCGCGCCCGGCCTCTTTTTTTCTTTTTATTTTTTATTTTTATTTGTTTTAAATAAAGACGGGGTTTCACCATGTTGGTCAGGCTGCTCTTGAACTCCCGACCTCGGGTGATCCGCCCGCCTTGGCCTCCAAAGTGCTTGGATTACAGGCATGAGCCACCACGCCTGGCCCGATCCAGGGATTTCCTTTCTAGGAAATACCAAGAAATATCTAGCTGGGTATACAAATATACAGCCATTCTAAAAGTTCATATGCACTGATTACCAGGTTAATTCCTTCCCAGGAAATAACTGGCAATGTACAAATGTATGTATAAATTCAATGTAACATTATGTAAAAGAGCCAAATATATATATATTTTAAGTGAAAAGAGATCCAAGAACTCAACACGAGTTGAGTGCTAGCAAAATGCAAGCATTGAAAATATACAAAGTGAGAGATGAGGAAGGCCGGGCATAGTGGCTCACGCCTGTAATCCCAGCACTTTGGGAGGCCGAGGTGGGTGGATCATGAGGCTAAGAGATCCAGACCATCTTGGTCAACATGGTGAAACCCTGTCTCTACTGAAAATACAAAAAATTAGCTGGGCATGGTGGCGTGTGTTTGTAATCCCAGCTACTCAGGAGGCTGAGGCAGGAGAATTGCCTGAACCCAGGAGGTGGAGGTTGCCATGAGCCGAGGTCGCGCCATTGCACTCCAGCCTGGGTAACGAGCGAAACTCCATCTCAAAAAAAAAAAAGAAATTATACTAATGGAAAAATATTTTATATAGACAAGATATTCAAATATGGAAAAATGTGTTTTTATTTTATTAAGTTTTATTTTTTATTTATTTTGGAGGTGGAGTCTTGCTGTCACCCAGGCTGGAGTGCAGTGGCACTATCTCAGCTCACTGCAACCTCTGCCTCCTAGATTCAAGCCATTATCCTGCCTCAGCCTCCCCAGTAGCTGGGATTACAGGCACCTGCCACCACGTCAGGTTAATTTTTTGTATTTTGGGGGTGAAAGGATTTTACCATATTGGCTAGGCTGGTCTCAAACTCCTGACTTCAAGTGATTTGCCCACCTCAGCCTCCCAAAGTGCTGGGATTACACGCGTGAGCCACCTCGCCCCACTGGAAAAACATGTTTTTTAAAAGTCTGGCAAAAAAAGGCAAATGTTAATAGTCATCCACAAGTATGCAAACAGGAATGGTTTTTCCTACTTCTTTTAGCTAATTCATTCAAACAACATTCACAAAGCACCTGCCAGGTGCCAGGTCTGACACCGGGCGTTGAGATCTGGACAAGACTCCTTCCCTCCAGGAGCTTCCAATCTGAAGGGAAGGATGCAGTAAGCCAATGAAAATGCAGGGTGGCCGGGTGCGGTGACTCACGCCTGTAATCCCAGCAGTTTGGGAGGCCAAGGCAGGTGGATCACCTGAGGTCAGGAGTTCGAGACCAGCCTGGCCAACATGGCAAAACCCCATCTCTACTAAAAATACAAAAACTGGCCGGGTGTGGTGGCTCACGCCTGTAATCCCAGCACTTTGGGAGGCTGAGGTGGGTGGATCACCTGAGGTCAGGAATTCAAGACCAGCCTGGTCATCATGGTGAAACCCCATCTTAAAAAAAAAAAAAATACAGGCCAGGCGCAGTGGCTGAAGCCTGTAATCCCAGCACTTTGGGAGGCCGAGGTGGGTGGATCACGAGGTCAAGAGATCGAGACCATCCTGGTCAACATGATGAAACCCCGTCTCTACTAAAAATATAAAAAATTGAATAAAAAATAAACAACAACAACAACAAAATTAGCTGGGCATGGTGGCGTGCACCTGTAATCCCAGCTACTCAGGATGCTGAGGCAGGAGAATTGCCTGAACCCAGGAGGTGGAGGTTGCGGTGAGCCGAGATCGCGCCACCGCACATAAGAAGAGTGAAACTCCATCTCAAAAAAAAAAAAAAAATACAAAAATTAGCTGGGCATGGTGGTATGTGCCTGTAATCCCAGCTACTAGCAGGGCTAAGGCAGGAGGATTGCTTGAACCTGGGAGTCAAAGGTTGCGTGAGCTGAGATTGTGCCAATGCACTACAGCCTGGGCAACAGAGTCAGACTCTGTCTCAAAAATAAAAAAAGAAAGAAAATGCAGGGTTATCGACAGCAGTTTGTGAGCACACTGCGAGCACACCTAGAAGGTCCCCAAAGAAGCAGGCAGCTGGGGAGAGTGGGAGGAGGTGCACCCCAGAACTCAGATGGCCGGCTTGGTGGTGGAGCTATCCACCTGCCACCACCTTCCAGGACCTGCATCCCAGATGAACTGCATCCTTGGAGGTCTGAACCCATTGGCCCACAGCCAGGTGGGCTTGGCAGTTGCTGGCTGGGGCAGATGTGGTAGGTCACAACCTCCTGGTATTCCACACAAGCCACCTGCAGAGGTTCTCCCAACCCTGTCCCACACTGGAGTCCCCGGGCCCATCACAGGAACTCGAAATTAACGGACACATTACCCTAGGCAGCTAGAGGGCTTCAATTAGTACAAGGAAACAAAACACATTTTTTAGATGGCTGTCCATTTCAGAGTTTATCCTCTAAGACTGAGCTGTCCCAGCAGACAAGCAACACAGGCACCCAAGGCATTAGAAAAATGTTTGAAAGCGAAACTAATAACAAAATTGGGTGTAGTGGCGTGTGCCTGCAGAACCAGCCACTTGGGAAGCTGGGGTGGGAGAATCGCTTGAGCCCAGCAGTTTGAGCTGTAGTGAGCTAGGATTGCACCACTGCACTCCAGCCCGGGTGACAGGGCAAGACCCTAAAAAACGAACAAAAAACTATTGACAGAGAGGATTCCGTCTCTCCTTGCCCTTTCTTTCCATTTAATTGTGTTTTCCTTTGATTTGGGGACCCTGTTTTTGGGGATTTCAGCTGGAAACCCAGTGTGGCCGGGTTTCCGGTCCTGGAGAAGGTCTGCGGCAGGAGAGGGCTGTGGGAAGTTTTCAGGGAGGCCTGGCCCATCCGTCTGCTATGGGACCCTGGGAAGGGGAAGGGTGGCTCTCCCATTCTTTGGGAGGAGGCGACAAAGGGGAAGTCTTTGGGCAGTTGGTAGCGGAAAGCCAGACCTGGCCTGAGACATCAGGTGCTCGGGGCTATTCGCTGAATGCAGGGTAAGTGACCCCAAGGGGCCTTCGCGGAACAGTCAGTCGCTCGGTTTTGGGGAAGGGAGGAAGCCGCAGAGAGAGTGTCTGGACGGAAACCTGGGTGGGTGCAGGGGAGACGGCGCTTTAACCCTCTCAAGGCCAGAGGCTCAGCCGAGACTATCCAGGAGGTGGGAACTTGTCCTCCCAGATGACAGATTATGAGACCGTGGGAAGGGGACTCTCCCCGGCAGTGAAGCGGGATGGACGCCGGGACCAGGTGCCCCAGCAGAGCCTCTCCCAAGCCCAGCTGCGCTCCCGCTCAACCCTTAACCTTTCCCAGCTGGAGAGGAGGGAGGGGCGCCTGCGGATCCCAGGCGAGCGTGGAGGCCGGGCGACTCCGACCGGCTCGCCCAGCGTCCAGCTCGTACCGAGGCCGTTTTCCACACCGGGAGGGCCCTTCCCGCTTCCGGGCAGGTCCAAATCCTTGCCCTCCCAGAGGCCGGCGCCGACGCCTCCAGCCCGGCAGAGCCCCCTCCAGCCGGCCGCTATCCATCCCAGTCCCAGTCGCATCCGCTCTGGGGCGAGCACCGCCGGGCGCCCAGGCCTCCCGCGGGACCGCGCGCCCCCTGGATGGAGGAGTGCGACTCGTCCAAGGTCGCGGGGCAGAGCCTGCCTGGGACTCGGCTTCTCCCCGACGTCCGGTCTCCAGCCCCGGGACCCGGCCGGGCGGGGCTGACCTCGAGGGCTCCCAGGCCGGGTGCGTCCTGCCCGCGAGGGCCGGGGCTCCGGGTCCAGCCGCCGGGCTCCACTTCGGGGCGCAGTTGGGGTGGAGGCAGTGGCCGGTACCGCAGCGCGGGGGCCGTGCGCGCACAAATGTCGCCTCCAAAACAGGTGGCCCGGGCTGGGGCGACTGCCCAGCCCCTCCGCCCCTCGCGCCCCCCCCGCGCCTGCCCTCCCGAGGTGCCCCCTCCCCACCGGGAGCTGCAGGACCCGCCTGGAGCCCCAGTCCGCTGCACCTTCGGCGCGGCCCCTCGTACCTCTGGCTCCTCCGGCGGCCGGCAATGGACAGCTGGGGCCCGGGCGAGCGGCGCCGCGGCCGGATGGCAGGGCCCGGAGCCCGGCAGGAGGCGGCACCGTCCCTCCGGTCCGGGGCGGCGTCAGCCCTGGCTCGCCCTGCCCCGTGGGTCCCGCTCCCCGGCCCCTGCTGGGTCCCCGCACCAGGCCGGCGCCCCCTCGCCTTTACCCAGGCGGGTGCAGACCGTCCCTGGCCCGCGGGCCAACAGGTAGGGAGCGCTCCCCGGCCTCCCCGCTGCGGGTATTACTGGTTACAATCCCGTTTTCCCCACGGAACTAATGAGAAAACGGAAGTTCAGAGAGTTGTTAGCTCGATGTCCTGCAGTGGGGAAGGGACGGTGTCACCCGCTAGGACCTAGGACCTGGGTCGGCCGTCTCCCACCGCCCCCTGCCGGGACCGTGCTAAGGGCGTTGCCTGCATCATCCCAGTGTTTACGGAATTCCAGTTATTTGCTGTATCCTTAACGCCGCCCCGTCCTTTCCCTACTCCTCCTTGCTCTCACCTCGTCCATCTTCTCACTCAGCTGCTGACCCGGTGCCCAAGCCACTAAGAAAATGGAACCTCTATCCTAGCCCTGAGGAAGAGGCTGGCACTCAAAGGGTACCCAATAAATACGCTTCGATTGAAGGAATAAGTAGAAATTCCCACCAGCTCCCCCACGCACCTACTGAGGTAGCGCCCACACTCCCTTCCCTCTTGGGACCAGGCTGAACCCGTCCAGCTTCCAGCCACGACCACCCCCTCCACAAGATCCCGACCCTTCAAGCCAACACTGATCCCGGAACTCTGCCCTCTCTCCGCTCTCCCTGTGATTTCCATCACAGGCTGTTTGTTATTACTTCTCCCAGCTTAAAACTAAAACAAGAGGTGGGGCAAGCACTCACGCCTGTAATCCCAGCACTTTGGGAGGCCAAGGCAAGCGGATCACCTGGGGCTAGGAGTTCAAGACCAGCCTGGTCAACAAGGTGAAACTCGGTCTCTACAAAAATACAAAAATTAGCCCCACGTGCTCACTTGAACCCAGGAGGCAGAGGTTGCAGTGAGCCTAGATCATGCCACCGCATTCCAGCCTGGGTAACAAGAGCCAGACTCCATCTCAAAAAAAAAGGAATGGACGAATGTGGACCCTTTCTCCATTGGTAATACTCCTTTTTTTTTTTTTTTTTTTTTTTTTTTTTTGGTGAGACGGAGACTCACTCTGTAACCCAGACTGGAGTGCAGTAGCACAATCTTGGCTCACTGCAACCTCCATCTCCTGGTTTCAAGAGATTCTCCTGCCTCAGCCTCCCAAGTAGCTGGGATTACAGGCATGCACCACCATGCCCAGCTGATTTTTGTAGTTTTCATAGGAGACAGGGTTTCACCATGTTAGCCAGACTGGTCTCGAACTCCTGACCTCAAGTGATCCACCCGCCTCTGCCTCCCAGTGTGGGGATTACAGGTGTGAGCCACCACACCCAACCCACTTGTAATACTGTTAATGCTTTCTCTTTATGTCGGCTTTTCCATGATGGTAAGTGTGTTTTTCAGAGAAACTCTGTATTGCTACCCTAAATAGAACACCAGTATCTCAGAGACTAGAAGGCAACAGCAAAAATGAAATAAAACTAAAACAGTGTTATAAAGCCCAGGTAGGTCCTAGTGAGGAAGGAGACCCAGGCATCTGGGATCACCTCCCCCTTGACGTCCATCCTGCGTTTCAATAAAAGAAAAGGCTGGCTGCCTGGTGCCTCCTGAGTCACCCTCCTGTAAATAGCAAGCTTGGTATTGGGGAAACCCTCCGGAAGACACTGTTTTTACTTAAACAAGATCAAAGCCCCACTCTACTCCATCCGGAGACCAGAAACCTTTCACATGTGATTCCTAAAGCTGTAAACCCAAAACCCTTTCACCAGTGATTTCTAAGGCTGTAAACCTAAGATTGTTTCACCTGTAATATCTAGAATGTAAGCCTATATAAAGGCAAAGCCTCTCTTTGTTAAATGAACTGGGTCATTTAGACAAATCATCGCCCAACTCCTGGCTGTAATATTAATAAACTCCTTCCCTCCCCGTTTGGTGTTCGAGAGCCCTGTTTCTCAAGGCCGCTCCTGCTACACTTTTGCCCATCCAAGAGCTGAGCCCCTCCTGCCCTCTCTTTGTTCAAAGGAAAATTCAAAAGGTATAGAGAGGTTTTCAAGACAGGCCAGCTCCCATCAAAGACTTGCCCTGGACTTAAGCAAAGGCATTAAAAGAGAATTGAGACAGGAATGGCTTTCTTTTTTTTTTTGAGACAGAGTTTTGCTCTGTTACCCAGGCTGGACTGCAATGGCGCCATCTTGGCTCACCATAACCTCCGCCTCCTGTGTTCAGGCAATTCTCCTGCCTCAGCCTCCTGAGTAGCTGGGATTACAGGCACGCACCACCATGCCCAGCTAATTTTTTTGTATTTTTAGTAGAGACGGGGTTTTACCATGTTGACTGGGATGATCTCTAGACCTTGTGATCCACCCGCCTCAGCCTCCCAAAGTGCTGGGATTACAGGCGTGAGCCACCGTGCCTGGCCTTCTTTTTCTTTCTTTTTTTTTTGGAGATGGAATCTTGCTCTGTTACCCAGGCTGGAGTGTGCAGGGGCACAACCTCAGCTCACTGCAACCTCTGCCTCCCAGGTTCAAGCAATCCTCCTGCCTCAGCCTGCTGAGTAGCTGGGATTACAGATGCACACCACCATGCCAGGCTAATTTTCTGTATTTTAGTAGAGACGGGGTTTTACCATGTTGGTCAGGCTGGTCTTGAACTCCTGACCTCAGGTGATCCACCTGCCTTGGCCTCCCAAAGTGCTGGAATTAAAGATGTGAGCCACTAGGCTGGGCGCGGTGGCTCAAGCCTGTAATCCCAGCACTTTGGGAGGCTGAGGTGGGTGGATCACGAGGTCAAGAGATCGAAACCATCCTGCTCAACATGGTGAAACCCTGTCTCTACTAAAAATACAAAAAATTAGCTGGGCATGGTGGCGCTCGCCCATAATGGGAGAATTGCTTGAACCCAGGAAGCGAAGGTTGTGGTGAGCCGAGATTGCGCCATTGCACTCCAGCCTGGGTAACAAGAGTGAAACTCTGTCTCAAAAAAAAAAAAAAAAAAAAAAGATGTGAGCCACTATGCCTGGCCAGGAATGGCTGGCTGGCTTTCTTGCCTTCCTTCCTTCCTTCCTTCCTTTTTCTCTCTCCTGCCCTCCTTCCCTCCTCTCCTCGATGGAGTTTCGCTTTCGTTGCCCAGGCTGGAGTGCAATAGCATCATCTCGGCTCACTGCAATCTCCACCTCCTGGGTTCAAGCAATTTTCTTATCTCAGCCTCCCAAGTAGCTGGGACTACAGGCACCTGCCACTACACCCAGCTAATTTTTGGTATTTTTAGTAGAAACGGGGTTTCACCATGTTGGCCAGACTGGTATTGAACTCCTGACTTTTGGTGATCTGCCCACCTCAGCCCCCCAAAGTGCTGGGATTACAGACATGAGCTACCGTGCCCGGCCAGGAATGGCTTTCTTATGGTAGCCATCACTCGAGCTGTGCCCAGACCCACAAGCTCTTCCTGATGATGCCTGGGGACACTGCCTCCTTACAGCTTGTTTAATCTCTCAACCCTCTGAGGTTGTCATCACACTGCTATCATCCCCATTTTACAGATGAAAAAATGGAGACTGTTGGCCAGGTGTGATGGCTCACACATGTAATCCCAGCACTTTGGGAGGCCAAGGCAGGAGAATCTCCTGAGGTTGGGAGTTCCAGACCAGCCTGACTAGCATGGAGAAACTCTGTCTTTACAAAAATAAAAAAATTAGCCAGGTCAGCCGGGCGTGGTGGCTCAAGCCTGTAATCCCAGCACTTTGGGAGGCTGAGGCGGGTGGATCACCAGGTCAAGAGATCGAAACCATCCTGGTCAAAATGGTGAAACCCCATCTCTACTAAAGATATAAAAAATTAGCTGGGCATGGTGGCGCGCACCTGTAGTCCCAGCTACTCGGGAGGCTGAGGCAGGAGAATTGCCTGAACCCAGGAGGCAGAAGTTGCGGTGAGCCGAGATCACGCCATTGCACTCCAGCCTGGGCAACAAGAGCAAAACTCTGTCTCAAAAAAAAAAAAAAAAAAAAAAAGGTAAGAAAGAAAAGAAAAAGACAAGCAGAGGTTGGAATTCAAATTTGCCTGGCCCCCAAAGCCGCAGCAGCCTTTGAGGCCAAATTATTTTCTAGCCTGACCTGTCCTGGCTGTAGGGAGAGCTTCAGAGGGCCAGGGCATGGAGGAAGAAGTGGGGGACAGAAGAGCCCTCATGTGTGACCTGCCCTGGACTTAGTTTGCTCATCTGTGACCCTGCCCCGGAAGCACAGCCTGGCCCACGCTACCCTGGGCTCTCCTGACCCTGGAGCACCCCTTCTGCTCCTGAGCCCAGTGCGCCCCTTTTCTCTCCCTACCAGTGTGATATAGCTGGCTTAGAATTAGAACCAGTGCAATGTCATTTTAAAATGGGAAAACTGTTTCCATTCTCCTCACAATGACTGCTAGCCATGCCTTCTGTAAACTACTAAGATTACCTTGCAATGCAAAGAGAGGAAAAGCTGCATACTTTCTCTTATCTGTAACTGCCAGAATTGCTGGCCTTTGTTTACCAAAGTAAGCACCCCCAGCCAAGCAACTGAAAAATCTGTGGACCCCACACCTGCCCAAATAATGTATAAACTAATGTTTACCTTGACCTCTGTAAACCACTTAGGTGGCAATTGGAATGACAAAAGTCCCCTGGCCCTTGGAATGTCTGGAGCCCCCCTCACCCTCGTCTCAGCCTAGGAGGTGATTGACAGCTTTCATTCCCATCTCCGCTCCTCACCCCCACTCCCAAGGTGGTTTTTCGGGTATAAAAAGGTCTTGTCACTCTTATTTCTCGGCCATGGGTTGGAGAGACGTGAGTCCTCCGTGGTCGCCGGCAATAAACCCTGCAATTTGGCATACTTTTGTTCTGGTGTTGACTTTCTGTGCTAAGTTCAATCCAACACCAGCACCCCTGCAGGTCCCTTTCCTCCTAAGGTTGAGCACACAGGCTCGGAGAGGAAGGGAAGGCATGGCTTGTGGCTGGCTTTCTGGCTGGAGATGAAGAACCCTGCGGTGCTTGTGAAAGAAGGGAGTGGTCTGCCTGGGGTTGAATCTGCCTCTATTAGTAGGGTGGGTGTGGGCACATTTTTATTTTTTGCAACAGTGTCTTACCCATGCTGGGATTCATTATTATCATTATCATTGTTACTATTTAGAGAGTGTCTCACTGTTGGTCAGGATGGAGTGCAATGACCTGATCACAACTCACTGCAGCCTTGACCTCCCAGGTACAAGTGAGCCTCCTGCCTCAGCCTCCTGAGTAGCTGGGACCACAAATGTGCACAACCATGTCCGGCTCCTTTTTTTGTTTCTTTTTTTTTTTTTCTGGAGACGGAGTTTCGCTTTTGTTACCCAGGCTGGAGTGCAATGGCGCGATCTCGGCTCACCGCAACCTCCACCTCCTGGGTTCAGGCAATTCTCCTGCCTCAGCCTCCTGAGTAGCTGGGATTACAGCCACGCGCCACCATGCCCAGCTAATTTTTTGTATCTTTAGTAGAGACGGGGTTTCACCATGTTGACCAGGATGGTCTCGATCTCTTGACCTCGTGATCCACCCGCCTCGGCCTCCCAAAGTGCTGGGATTACAGGCTTGAGCCACCGCGCCCAGCATAATTTTTGTTTTTTTTAGTAGAGATGGGGTTTCATCGTGTTGGCCAGGCTGGTCTCGAACTCCTGACCTCAGGTGATCTGGCCTCCCAACGTGCAGGGATTACAGGCATGAGCCACTGTGCCTGGCCCTTTGTTGCTGTTTTTATTTGTTTTTTGAGACAGGGTCCTGCTCTGTCACGTGGGCTGGAGTGCAGTGGTGCAATCACAGCTCACTGCACCTTAAACTCTTGGGCTCAAGTGATCCTCCCACCTCTGCCTCCTGACTAGCTCAGACTGCAGTTACACCGGGCTAACTTTTTTATTTTTTGTAGAGGCAGGGTCTCAATTTGTTGCCCAAGCTGGTCTTGAACTCCTGGGCTCAAGTGAGCCTCCTGACTCAGCCTCCCAAAGTGCTGCGATTACAGGCATGGACCAACACATCCAGCCTAGTTTTCTCTCGTATACAGTGGGTGTTTTACATAACAACCTCAGAAGGATGTTAGAGGATTCGATTAACTTTTTTAAAAAATTTAAAGATAAATAAATTCAATAATATGCAAGAAAGTGCAGGAGAAATGAGACGCTATTATGGTTTTGTTACAGAATATCCAGGAGACTGAAGAGACCAATGGGTGAAAGAGGAGGATTTTATTAAGGTGGCCACCAGCTCAGCCGATTAGCAACTCAAAGCTGAGCCCCGAGAAGGAAAAGGGGTACTTTTTATACATCCAGGATGTAGTAGCAGCTAACAGGTTTACAGAAGCCAGAACAAAGAACAGTTAATTGGTTAACACATCTTGTGAGGTACGTTACATTTGAAAAATAACATTTTGAGGAAGGCATTGAACATTCTTTGTGTGTTATCTTGCCCTGTGACCTTGCAGCTGGTCAACAAGAAAAACAGGAGTCTTGAGATGCCTGGGAACTTTGCTGAGAATGTGGGGACAATAGATAAGGTAGGTTTTACACTGAGTTAGTTAATTTTAAGCAGAGCTGGGGTTAGGTTTTATATTAAACAGCACACAACACAGCAAAATTTACATTACTATATAGCAATTAAAAATTATAGGGTTTTGTTATTATTATTATTGCTATCATTTAATTCCCTTCTTCAGTATGGTGACGGCATTCTTATAATTCGATCGTGTGACAAAAATCTGTTGCTTTGGCCAGGGCAGTGGCCCACATCTGTAATCCCAGCACTTTGGGAGTCTGAGATGGGCAGATCATCTGAAGTCAGGAGTTCGAGACCAGCCTGGCCAACATGATGGAAAAAAAAATACATAAATTAGCTGGGAATGGTGGTGGGCGCCTGTAATCACAGCTATTCGGGAGGCTGAGGCAGGAGAATCACATGAACCCAGGAGGCAGAGTTTGCAATGAACCAAGATTGCGCCACTGCACTCCAGCCTGGGCAACGAGAGCAAAATTCCATCTCAAAAAAAAAAAAATCTGTTGCTCTGAGTCCTGATCTGTAAGGGATTTTGTTTTGTAATCCTCCAGTGCATCTCCACACTCATTCTGGGTCCCCCTTCCCCCCCTGCCTCCCAATAGCTGACGTTGTATCACAATGAACAGATAATTGCAGGGTCAGGCTTCATGTTTTCCATTGGCTCTCATCACAGTCCAGCCTGTTTATTTTCATCCAAGGGAAGCAGACTTATTCTTTTATTGTATCCTGTTCTGTCACATTCGCACTACTGTCACTTTATTAATTGTAAGTTCCAAGAGAAAACATCTCTATTTCAGCAGAGATCTCCATCTCCTATGACTAAATGTCCTTTTTAGGGAGGCTGCTCTGTGGTGTGTTGTGTTCCCTAAGAGACAGGCTTGTAGCTATAGAAACTGTAACCTTGTGCGGCCAATGGTGTGGCAGGGATAGCACTGACTTGGTTGATTTCTTTCTTCTTCACTGCAGTTCAAAATACCTAGGGACATTGCTGAAATAACTGAAAGCTGGTCCCCCTTCCCCCACTGCCCCAAGTGTGTCTTTTGCTGTTCTATAGCATTAGATATAAAACTCACAAGATTTTTTATTTTTTTTTAGATTTTTAAATTTTTCTTTTCTTTTTCTCTTTCTTTTTTTCTTTTTTTGAGACAGAGTCTCTGTTGCCAGGCACCAGGCTGGAGTGCAGTGGTGGGATCTTGGCTCACTGCAACTTCTGCCTCCCAGGTTCAAGCAATTCTCCTGCCTCAGCCTCCCGAGTAGCTGGGACTACAGGCGCACGCCACCACGCACAGCTAATTTTTGTATTTTTAGTAGAGACAGGGTTTCACCATGTTGGCCAGGATGGTCTCCATCTCTTTACCTCGTGATCTGCCCACCTCAGCCTCCCAAAGTGCTGGGATTACAGGCATGGGCACCTAATTTTAGTGCCAGCCTAATTTTTATTTTCAAGACAGGGTCTCACTCTGTCACCTAGGCCTGGAGTACAGTGGTGCAGTCTAGGCTTACTGCAACGTCTGTCTCCTGGGTTCAAGTGATTCTCCTGCCTCAGCCTCCTGTGTAGCTGGGATTACAGGCACCTGCCACCATGCCTGGCTAATTTTTGTATTTTTAGTAGAGATGGGGTTTCTCCATGTTGGCCAGGCTGGTCTCAAACTCCTGATCTCGAGTGATCCACCCATTTTGGTCTCCCAAAGAGCTGGGATTACAGGTGTGAGTTACAGTGCCTGGTAGGACCTGATATCTTCTAAATCAGAGTAGGACTTTGTTTCACAGATCCTTAAGATTAGGAAAATAAGTAGATAAAATAAAGAGGCCAGACACGGTGGCTCACACCTGTAATCCCAGCACTTTGGGAGGCCAAGGTGGGTGAATCACCTGAGGTCAGGAGTTCAAGAACAGCCTGGCCAACATGGTTAAACCCCATCTCTACAAAAAAATACAAAAGTTAGCCAGACATGGTACTCAGCACTTGTAGTCCTGGCTACTTCAGAGGCTGAGGTGGGAGAATCACTCAAGCCCAGGAAATTGAGGCTACAGTGAGTGGAGATCACTCCAGTCTGGGTGGCAAAAAGACCTGGTCTCAAAGGAAAAAGAAAAAAAGAGAGAAAGAATAAAGGGTCAATGCATAAGGGTGGGTTAAAAAAAGTAATAATAGGCCAGGTGCGGTGGCTCATGCCTATAATCCCAGCACTTTGGGAGGCCAAGGCAGGTGGATCACGAGGTCAAGAGATCGAGACCATCCTGGTCAACATTGTGAAACCCCGTCTCTACTAAAAACACAAAAAAATTAGCTGAGTATGGTGGTGCGTGCCTGTAATCCCAGCTACTCAGGAGGCTGAGGCAGGAGAATTGCCTGAACCCAGGAGGCGGAAGTTGCGGTGAGCCGAAATCGCGCCATTGCACTCCAGCCTGGGTAACAAGAGCGAAACTCCATCTCAAAAAAAAAAAAGACCAGCCTGACCAACATGGAGAAACCCTGTCTCTATAAAAACTACAAAATTAGCTGTGCATGGTGGTGTATGCCTGTAATCCCAGCTACTCAGGAGGCTGAGGCAGGAGAATCACTTGAACCCGGGAGGCAGAGGTTGTGGTGAGCCAAGATGGCACCATTGCACTCCAGCCTGGGCAACAAGAGTGAAACTCTGTCTCAAAAAAAAAAAAAAACAAAAAACAAACACACACACACACACACACACAAATCCTGAGAGAAAAAGTAATAATAAAGAAGAAAAAGTTTGATTTTGCTGGCATGTTGTCTCGGGAAGACAGAAGGTAAAAGCAAGTGAGGGTCTAATCAATGATACTGGCAGGCTGCAGATAGACCGTGTGTCCAGAAGGAATTGTCTATTTGCACTTTAGAGAAAGGACAGCAAAGAAAGAAATAAGCAGTAATTTCCCAGGGCTGTGTAAGGGAGGGGAGCTGCCAATCTGGTGGACAAGAGTATTACCATATTATCTTTACTAGAGTATTACCGTATTACCTTCATTAGGTCGGTGCGTCCTGTCCCGAGGCAGGAACAGGCCTTACTCGTTCATTCAGCACACAACGATTGAGTGCTTACTGTGAACCAGGTGCTACGGATCAAGTGTGAGGAGATGAAAGGTAGGTAGGCTCTGCCCTCACCTTTCACGTTTTGGGGAGGGTGAGGCACAGCCTCCAGAGGAACCTGTGATTCCAAGTTCACAAAGCGCCAGGATATTGCAAAAGGCTGCTGCAGACCTGAGACCACAACTGCCACAGCCCTCTCCCCATCTTTTTGGCTTGTAAGTAACTGTGACTCCTGCAACCCAGGCTAACAGAATAAGAGAGATACTTGTTTAAACACTCTTAATTGATCCTATGAAATCCATTTTGCTGTGCAAAGGAAGTTGGGCAGTGTTCTAGTTCAGGCTTGACCCAGAGAGAGAATTTATACGAGAATTCTAGGCCGGGCACGGTGTTTCACACCTATAATCCCAGCTCTTTGGGAGGCTGAGGGGGGCGGATCACAAAGTCTGGAGATGGAGACTGTTGTAACCCAGTGAGCGTGAAATCACCACTGAGACAAAGACTAGGCCAAATTACAGGGTCTTTATTGCCAGCGGCCACGGAGGACTCGAGTCTCTCTAACTTGTGGCCCCTAAAGGAGGGTGTCAAGACCTTTTATGCCGATAAATCACCACCTGGGCGGGGGTGGGGATGAGGGGCTTTGGACATTTCGAGAGCCAGGGGACTTTGGACATTCTGATTGTTACTGAAGTGGTTCACAGAAGTCAAGATAAGCATTAGTTTACACATTGTCTAGGTAGGGTGAAAATTACAGACCTTAGTTACTTATTACAAACCTTAGTTTTTCTTAAAGTGGTGCAGGGGTCAAAATGGCGTTGGTTTGGACTGCTTGCCTGTCACATTAGGGTTACAGAGAGCAGTTTCAATGGAAAGCTGAGGTTTGGTTGAGGTATGCAGTTTATGGGGCAATTACCATGCCACAGAGACCATCCTGGCCAACATGGTGAAACCCTTCTGTACTAAAAATATAAAAATTAGCTGGGTGTGCTGGTGCATGCCTCTAGTCCTACCTACTTGGGAGTCCGAGGCAGGAGAATCACTTGAACCCAGGAGGCAGAGGTTAAAGTGAGCCGAGGTCACGCCACTGCACTCTAGTCTGGGTGACAGAGCGAGACTCTATTTTGGGAAAAAAAGAAAAGAAAATAATTCTATGAACAAGGCCAGGTGTGGTGGCTCACACCTTTAATCCTACCCCTTCCAGAGGCCAAAGCGAGAGGATTTCTTGAGGCCAGGAGTTCAAGACCAGCCTGGGCAACACAATGAGACTGCATCTCCACAAAACTTTTTTTTTATTTTTTATTTTGAGACAGAGTCTTGCTCTGTTGCCAGGCTGAAGTGCAATGGTGTGATCTTGGCTCACTGCAACCTCTGCCTCCCGGGTTCAAGGGAGTCTCCTGCCTTAGCCTCCCGAGTAGCTGGGACTACAGGCCCGTGCCACCACGCCCAGCTAATTTTGTATTTATAGTAGAGATGGGGTTTCACCATGTTGGCCAGGATGGTCTCAATCTCTTGACCTCATGATCTGCCCACCTTGGCCTCCGAAGTGTTGGGATTACAGGCATAAGCCACTGCGCCTGACCTCCATAAAACATTTTAAAAGTTAGCTAGGCATGGTGGTGCTGGCCTGTAGTTCCAGCTACTCAAGAGGCTGAAGTAGAAGAATCACTTGATCCTCCCAGGAGGTCGAGAGGCTGCAGTGGGCCACGATCATGCCACTGCACTCCAGCCTGCGTGACAGAGCAAGACCCTGTCTCTAAAATAGAAAAAAACAAAAATAATTTTATAAAACAAAATATTACAATGTTTTCAGCCTCTTCCCAATAGCAACCCTATTCCATCATTCTGGAGACCCACCTTACAACACCCCTTCCCCACCCTCCCTCATGCAAAGGAAAACGTTGACACCCTGCTTTGACAGAGCAGTTTCTTTGTGGGTTTGTATGTGTGTTTTTGATTAGTGTGAGTCAGGTGACTCAGTCTCTAAGAACCTGACCTAGTTTTGTGTGCGCTAGAAAAGGTGTGCTTGTGGCTGGGCGTGGTGGCTCACGCCTGTCATCCCAGCACTTTGGGGGCCGGAGGCTGGTGGATCGTGAGGTCAGGAGTTCAAGTCCAGCCTGGCCAACATGACGAAACCCCGTCTCTACTAAAAAGACAAAAATTAGCCAGGTGTGGTAGCAGGTGCCTGTAATCCCAACTACTTGGGAGACTGAGGCAGGAGAATCTCTTGAACCTGGGAGGCAGAGGTTGCAGTGAGCCGAGATTGTGCCATTGCAGTCTAGCCTAGGCAACAAGAGCGAAACTCCATCTCAAAAAAAAAAAAGAAAAGAGAAAAGGTGTGCTTGTTCATCCCCTCATGTATTTGACAGACATTTTGATTGAACACCTAGGCAAGGGCCAGGCACTATGCAGGGCTCAGAATACAGAGAGGAAGACACAGTGCCTGCCCTGAAGGGACTGGCCACAAAAGGAATACTATGGTAAGTAAAGGGACAAACTGGAAAACCATGAAAGCGCCTCCTATAACAATAGGTTCTGCAATTTTATAAAAATCACATCTTCGCTGGGCGCGGTGGCTCGCGCCTATAATCACAGCACTTTGGGAGGCCGAGGCGGGTGGATCACGAGGTCAAGAGATCGAGACCATCCTGGTCAACATGGTGAAACCCCGTCTCTACTAAAAATACAAAAATTAGCTGGGCACGGTGGCGCGTGCCTGTAATCCCAGCTACTCGGGAGCCTGAGGCAGGAGAATTGCGTGAACCCAGGAGGCGGAGGTTGCGGTGAGCTGAGAGCGTGCCATTGCACTCCAGCCTGGGTAACAAGAGCAAAACTCCGTCTCAAAAAAAAAAAAAATCACATCTTGTTGCAGGCAAACTCCACCCTCCCCAGGACTGGATCCTGCCCCAGTGGTAGCAGAATTCTTGACTTGCCTCTGACACAGCAAATGACAAAGCGGTGGTGATGCAGTGGTCCCGAAGATAATGTTCTCATTGATACAATGGAGAAAACAGAAATTAATATATTAGGCCCGGCGCAGTGGCTCACGCCTGTAATCCCAGCACTTTGGGAGGCCAAGGCAGGCAAATCACCTGAGGTCAGGGGTTCGAGACCAGCCTGGCCAACATGGTGAAACCCTGTCTCTACTAAAAATACTTAAAGTTAGCTGGGCTTGGTGGCAGGTGCCTGTAATACCAGCTACTCAGAAGGCTGAGGCAGGAGAATCACCTGAACCTGGGAGGCGAAGCTTGCAGTGAGCTGAGATTTTGCCACTCTACTCCAGCTTGGGCAACAGAGTGAGACTCCGTCTCAAAAAATAATAAGAATTGTAAGGGTTATTGCTGAGTTTAAAATGAGGAAACTGAGGGCAGTATAAGAACAATTAAATGCCAATTTATTTAACTCCCGGATGGGGTTCTGTGGTCCCAGGGAAAAAGGCCAAAGAAGTCACACGACTCCTCGCGGGCATGGAGTTTTGTAGGGAATGAAGGCGTTTGATTGGCTGTGGAGAAACAGGACATGGACTGGGTGAGCTGCTATTGGTAGGTAGGCGGATTTCTGGTGAGCTGGCTGCTCAGGGGGAGTGGGACCTGGAAGGGGCAATGTGCTATTGGGCAGGTTTTGGCGGGGCCTCTTTTAAATTTTGGCGGGGTTTTCCAACAGCGAGCTAGGTGCCGAGTGCCGAGTGCCGAGTTTAGTGTTGAGTGCAGATTCCGGTGCGGAGTGCAGAAGTGGGCGTTGGGGAAGCCACGTGGTGGAGCTAGTTGCTGAGTGCAGGGCTTAATGTTCAGCGCGGAGTGGTGATGTAGTTTTCAGGTGCAGAGAGGGACGGGCGTGCAGAGCTCCCGGCGAGGCAACCGGCCTTACAATAATAATGAAATAATAACTAAAATAGAGTTGGAGTCTCACAATGTTAGCTAAGTTGGTCTCAAACTCCTAGGTTCAAGTGATCCCTTGGCCTCCAAAGTGCTGGGATTACAGGTGTGAACCACCGTGCGTGCCAAAGGTGCCTTTCTAGATCTAATTAAGTTAAGGGTCTTGACAAGAGAGCACCCTGGATTATACAGGTGGGCCCTAAATCCAGTGGCAAGTATCTTTATAAGAGACACATGGAGGAGAGCCATGCCAAGCAGAAGCCTGTAAAGATGGAGATGGAGATTAGAATGATGCAGCCACAAGCCCAGGGACACCTGGAACCACCGGAAGCTGGGAGAGGCAGAGAAGGCTCCTCCTCTAAGGCATATCCCTGCGGACACCTTGGTTGCAGACTTCCGGCCTCCAGAACTGTGAGTGAGAGAGTAAATATCTGTTCTTTTAAATCCCCAAAGTAGGGCTGGGCATGGTGGCTCACGCCTGTAATCCCAGCACTTTTGGGAGGCTGAGGTGGATGAATCACCTGAAGTCAGTAGTTCGCAGACCAGCCTGGTCAACATGGCAATACCCTGTCTCTACTAAAAATACAAAAATTAGCTGAGAGTAGTGGCGGGCGCCTGTGATCCCAGCTACTCAGGAGGCTGAGGCTGGCGCATCACTTGAACCAGGAGGTGACAAGATCGCAGCACTGCACTCCAGCCTGGATTAAAAGAGCAAAGTTCTGTCTCAAAAACAAACAAACAAAAATCACCACAGTTATAATTATTTGGAAGGCAACGATGCTCACTACTGTACCACCGACGCCATTTGGCTGTGGTTGTTAGAGTAGTGCTGAGAAACTAATGCATGAATTGACATGCGCATGGCAGTATTTGCAGCATTTTCTTTAAATCTTTAAATATGTTTAATTTTTTCCCCATCCCTTTGCCATTTCCATTTTTTTTTTTTTTTTTTTTGTCTTGCTCTGTCACCCAGGCTGGAGTGCAGTGGTTGTGATCTTGGCTCATTGCAACCTCTGCTTCCCGGGTTCAAGCAATTCTCCTGCCTCACCCTACTTAGGAGGGTGGAATTACAGGTGTGTGCCACCACGCCCAGCTTATTTTTGTATTTTTAGTAGATACAGGGTTTCACCATGTTGGTCAGGCTGGTCATAAACTTCTCTGACCTTGTGATCTGCCCACCTC